TGAAAGGCTTGTTTGACTACTGAAATCTGCTGAGTATTTCTGGCAGATCTGTAATCTTGGAAACAAAGAATCTTTTGAGAAGAAGGGACGAAGTCAGCTTTCAAGAGGATGGTGACATCAATCTAATCTAATTAGACTAATCTAACTGTGTTTGTCACAATTTGATATCTGTTCATAGGTGTTCTGATATATTGAATATCAGCACTGCTTTGTTACACTTGAGATAACATTTTCCGTGTGGAGTTAGGTGCAATAAAGCAAATGTGTGCCATTTCTTTTTTTTCTTTGTTTCCTTCATTGAGGCCTGTTTGCTGAGAGAGATTTCCACACAATCTCTTTCACCTTTTTTCCCCGATGACTGAGATTACAGCAAAGTGTTAGCTATACAAGCACATAACCTAATGACATTCAGGTAGAAAACAGCGTGATTTGTCAGGGTTGTCAAAAATGAGGAGGAGTCCAGGCAACGTTGTAGTCATAGGAAAATGCGTCCCATGGCAATATCCTGTGATCATTGTTATTTTTATAAAATACAGAACACAGTGGTGGCTGTAAAGGAAAAATTCCCCTCCTGCTCCTTCTATTTTGTGACCTTGTGTGAACCATGCATCCTCTGAAGTTTCGTGTCCCTCCTTTGTATGCTGAAGCTAGCAATCACTCAGATTGTCTTGTGAAGCACAATTGTTATTCCTAATTATGCCGCTAATTTCAATCTATCTGTTACATACAGCATGGTAAGGATCAAAAATGAGCAGCGTTTCTTGTTAGAAGTTCATGCATGTATTAGATGGCAGAAATAGCTGAAGAATTGGTCTGTTCAGTGGCTGGCACGTAGGCCACCATGAGACAGGCATTTCTTTCCAGGATTTATCTGCAGGCTATCAGGCTATTAGGGATTATATTTTAGAAGACAAAATGCAATTGGTATGAATGAATAATAGCACAGTTATTCCTGATGCCATTTAATTACGGACAATATCCTGTTAAATAGTTAAAAAAATGGAACCAGCAAGAGTGGGAACTCCTCTAAAGTTCAAACCAGAAAACCATAGCCATTTGTAGAGTGATTGATTTTACAAAAGCTGACTTACCAAGTGCTTTTAACATATCGGGGTCAGGTTATCTCTGCCAACCCAAAATTCAGATAGGAGGCTTACGACAGTGTGGCACGTAGATACGGACTTGTTCGAGTCATGAAGAAAAGTTCTGTCAGGTGTTTCCCACACCTCCAGCAACATATAAAAGTTGAAGGTCTCTGGGGTTTTCTTGCACTCTTACTTTCTGCAGCCTCTTGCTCTTATCTGAAAGAAAAATGAACGGATTTGTGAGTATATGCATTTCTATTGAACTTATGTTAAAAATTTCCTTATTCTTAAAGACGAAAGGGCACAGGAGAAGATGCTCAAGTGGTGTGGCACTGGGACTAATGATCTGTGTATTATTTCTCTGGGTTGCTCAGTGGGAAACTTGCATTTCTTGGATGTACAGTAATCCCCTTGGAGTCAGTGGAAGCATCATTTGAGCAGTGAGAGCAGAACTTGATTACAATTCAGAAGGGGTTTTAGTTATCATTTAAGAATTACAGTTGTAGACTCAAATCAAGAGGTAACATGGTATCGAGGAGTGTAACAAAAAAATAATGTTTGAGTTATCATTCTGCTTTTTCAATTACAGGCAAAAGAGCCTAATAGACTTTTACAATGAAGAGCTGTAACTGTTTTCAGCTAATCCATGTGTTAAGTGGGTAGTTTTCCAAACTGATGCTACAACTACTTCCATCAGTTCATTAACTGTTGGGGTTTTTTTATGGCACTGTCTGGTGTTTCTGCTGAGTGGGAATGCTTATTCGTTTTACAGGCTGCAGTCCTCGTTTTGCTGGGAGTCTTCTGGACTCAGACTTCTGCATTGCACGTGAGTAGCCTGATAAGCCTTCACGTGCAGGTACTCATTTAAAAGGCATTAGATTCCTGGGCAGGGCTGAATGTAGCAGGAAGAAAAGCACAGAAGAAACTAACAAGATGCTTATTGCCAAGCATAGGGAAAAACAGCATTTGCCAGAGGTGACAGTCATACAAGCCAGAGACAGTTCTGTGCAGGTGCACAGTAACAAGAAATGTGGGGAGGGGGGTATAGGTCCCTTTAGCTCAAGGTAAGATTTGGAGGCTGTTGCAGTCTCCTGACAGTCCCTGCTGCCACACATAATGACTGGGATGCCCTGTGTTGTTTTTCCTTCCTGTGGTGAGGGCCTCTTCCCTCCTTTCTCACCCTGACTCACGCGTGTATAATTAATCTCCACCTCAAGGGCCTGCTGAGGCTGCCAGAGGGTTGTTAAGGGATTTAGTATTTACAGAAAGCAATCATGCTTGTTTATTTGAGAGAACGCATTGGTTTATATTGCACTTTTGAAAGGTACAAGCCAGATGATGAATAATGATTTTGTCTTTATTACCAAAGACCTTTCACCTGCAAGAACCTGGCAATAGCTATGTCACTGGAACTATGACTATCCAGAATGAGAAAAACCTTTGCGAAGTCCACGTCCGCTCTGGCCTGTACTCCTCTGTTACCATTTTTGACTACCTGAAAGTAAGTAAATCTAAGAATCTGCCTGGACTTAATCTCTGAGGAAGCTTTTAAACTCAAATTATTTTAGTGTATTCTCACTGCAAGTTCTCCGAAAACACTGTTTCTTTGAAGACTCCCATCACTTTTTCTCCTCTTAAGCCATCTCTTTGTTTCACCCATATGATGGTGCCATTTAAAAGACTTGTAATGAAATCTGTGGCAGCAGCTCATGAAAGTGAGAAGAATGTCCTTGACGTTGGTGGGGACAGAGTTGAGCATGGGCTGCCATTGCTCACGTATGGCCAGTGCAGTAGAAGTCTGTCAGAAAAGATGTGTCCAGTCTTATGGACACATTTGTGTAGGCTGCTTCCACTCTCTGAGGTGACAGTGAAACTGCAGAGTCATTCCACAACAGTGTAGCCACTTTGTGTTTCTTCTAGATTGTACTAACAAGTAGGGAGAATTGACTAATACGAATGGTAGCTATTTTTAATTAATTAAATTAACTATATTTTCTATCACAGGGGTATATTGCAACAAAGTTACTTTCACGAAATGCCTGCTTTATCATGAAGATAGATAAGGATTACATCCCAAAGCTGGAAGAAATTGGACGCCTGGCTTATGAGAGAGAGGTGACTTTGTAGCAAAACCTTTAAATACTGTATAGAGAAAAGCAACTGTATGTGTGGTGTGATGAGAGCACTCCCTTCTGCCTTTAAGAAGTGGTTTTATAGTAGATTGCCATTGTGATTAGAACTATAAGATCCCGTGTGCTTGGAAGTAGTGTCATTTGACTATTTTGAGGTGATTGCAGCATGAGTTCAGACAGGCTTTTCTTTTTCTCATTGTCATGCTGGTATTTTGAGCTTGACATAACTTGAAATAATTCTATTTGCACGACAGAATTTAGACATTAATATACTTTGACTTTCTATTCAGGTAAAGGTTTCATTGAAGTGACTGGAAGTATTGCCTGGAGATGAACTTGAGTTCTGGCCTGATTTATGACAGCCTAACAGTAGCACACTTACAGCAAATCTTACTGCTAATTGACATAAATAAATCATTATGATAATAATACAGCTCAATTTTGCTATATTGACAAAATTAGTATCTGGTGAACTTTGTGTGCATTGAAAGTATTTACTTTAAAGCTTTTTCTTTCTTGTAGCTTCTTTAGCTAATGCTCTGTGTGAGTTAAAGGAAGGTGATATTACACGCTGGGATTTTGTCAGAGTGTCTTAGTAGAATGGCATCAAAGCTACATTACTGATGGTGTCTGATGCTTTCTTTTTTAGACTATGAGGTCAGTATACTCTCCAAAAAATGTGTGGATGCAGTTTCAACCTGGCCATTCCTTTTTTGGGCGTATCAAAGACTGGATTGTCTATGGCCATAACATAGAAAAACTCTGCGCAGGTCTGCCTCTCTACGAGCTTGTGAAGACTGAACGTAAGTTGCAGGATCAGAATATTTTCCTTCTGTTCCAGTGCATAAGCACCTTTCTAACCTTTAAACCCAAGTCCACACGGTACCTTTGAGGTAGGAACATATCTCCGTGTTTGAGAGATGAAGAGTAAACTACCTGGCAGGATTGAAAGGGTAAAGCTCTGGGATGCTTTGGAAAATCTGGTAAAGCACTGTTTTTCATTGTAAAACATCTAAATATCTGGAACAGCTGTTCCAAAGTGCTTTGCTTGGTGTCAGAGGAAGCTGCTGCGTAGCAGCGCTACCCAACTTATACCACAGTGATAACAGTGGTCCCACAAGGCATCTGCTGCATGTCAGCGTGGTACCTGCTGCATGGGGGTTATGGGAAAGGAGGAGCACAAAGGTGATGTAAATCCATGCAGACATTTTCTCTGAATTGCACCATAAATGTTTTACACAGTATCCACTGAGACCAACAGGAGACTCCAATAGGACCTTAATTGGGGATTTGAACTTTGTGTACTTAACAGAATTTTCCTTGCTGGGATCTTGTCACTTACAACATCTTCATCTTCTTGTTTCTTTTAGCACTAGTGAATGGTAATGTTTGTGCCGATGCAGGAATTCCAAGCATTTTGGGCATTAAAATCTGTGAAGAACAAAGATAAGCTGAATCTTAACAGTTCTGCTGCGTGGAAAAGGCTTGTTTCTTTGCATGTTTTTGTGATGGTAGCCACCTTCTCCAGCTGGAACAAAACTTGGTGTTAGATTAAATTCACCTATCCTAAGCTTCCAGTGCAACGAACCTCTGATGTACAAATAAAGATAATGCAGTAATTAAAATGCTTTGTCTTTTTTTCTTTATCCAAAATTAGAACAGAAATAAATTTGGTCTTGCTAGTTTTCCCATAGAAGAGATACATTTCCCTTTGGTGTGCTCCCATGCTCGGGCTGCAGCATGACCTGGGTGCTGGCACATTCTTAGTGCCAATGAAGAAACTGTAACAGAATAGGGGTTTTTTAAGTGGAGGACTTCCTGTTGGCATCAGCACACAGCCTATTCAGGAGCTGACTGCTGGAGCAAGAGAGGGAGAAAATGAATGGATGGGTACATAATGGGAGGGTGCAGATTTATGTTTCCAAAACTTGCAAAGAAGCTTGAATTCTGCAAGGCCAGTGAAAATTTGTAGCAATTTGAATAGGCGTGATGGGTCAGAGTGCTTTTTGATGTGGAAGTTTTTCAACCCTGGTTAGAAGAGACAGTCCCAGTCCTAAAAAAGTTCATAATCCAGAATAAAATTATCTCCTCACACAATGCCTGTGTACAAAAAGCTGTGTCTGGGGAGTAGTTTGTCAGGTGCTGATTAAAATACAAGGTGAGACAGTATTGGTTCTGCTTGCCTGCTCCTCTGGTAGATCTCAGTGTATGTTGAATTCACACATCCTTTCATCAGTGCTTGGAAGGAGTGTGTATTTTGAATATTTTTGGGCTAAAGACTAAATGTTTACTGTTTATTGGAGCCTTGAATGGCTGCCAGAGGGCAAGACATTTCACTGGAGTCCAGGAAACTGGCCCCAGGTCTGCAATTTGTTACTTTCAAATCAAACTCCTGGTCAGACCATCTGTTATTTATTAAAAGACCATTTTATCCTATGGTGAAACTGTTCTTTTTAGATGAATTGCATTCACAACAGGCTGCAGGTTCTTGGTGATCCAAAGAATGTTTCTGGAGAGTCAAACTTTGGTAATTAAATCCAGGAATACTTGTGTGTGTCTGCAAGATACACGACGGCCTGTTTAGCTGTATTTTGAAGTGGAGCTCACTGATGGGAAGTGAAACTAGGAGTTGTAGTTGTGATGTTCTTGGCTGATGCACAGGGGATGTGAAACACCTCAAAGTGCTCTTGGAAAGCCCTGCTTGGCAAGAGTCCTCATGTGAGCTGTGATTTTCAAAGCTTTTGTTGTAGTATCCAGAGGAGCTGTTGTTTCAAGACCTTCAGCACTCAGAAGTCCTAATCCGCTTCCCAAGTGACAACTGTCATGTTTGTTTACTCTTCTGTTAGAGGGCATGGAAGTCATGACAAGGCCCTCTCCTGCCCTGAGTCAGCCAAGCTCTTCAGAATCTAGAAAATAACTGCCTTAATTATCTCAGGCTTTATAAATCTTTGGATTATTTCTTTGGGGATGCTGACCTGATGATACTCAAGTATCCAGTGAAAGTCTGAAGACCAGAGATTGAACCAGTTCCCAAGGACCAAACTGGTAGAGCTTCCAGAGAGGCAGCCTAGATGTACAAACAAAGCTGAGTCTTATTTTTCTAAGATTATTATTTAATTTGAAGACATTTAAAATAATTAGTCAATGCAGTCTGGTTTTCTGTCTAATTGCATTATAGATGAATCTGAACCTTTACTGTGTGTGCAGTGTAATAATGGTCCTTTGAGACTCTGATCCTGTTGCTACTAGTTTAATTAGAACTAGTTACTTAAGAGCAACCCTCTGCATACTACCTGCATTTACTAATGGATGGGTGTTCTGAGATGTGAGTGAGACCTGAATGAAATAACTGAGTGGTTATGCATGGTTATAAAACATGCAGGGCTAAACTTTTTCATTGATCCAGGGATAAAGAGCATTACTCAGGTGAAGAGTCCCATTCTTCTCTGGCATAGTCTCTTGCAGATCATGAGGACTGTTCTGAATGGACAATGTAAGGGATGCGTTGCTGCCTTGTTCCTATCAATGGAAAACTGAAGCTTGATCCACTCTGTATGGTTTGACTGCTATCATGGAAATCGTGACTGAGGCAGAAACTCAGTCCAGCTCTTCAGTCTTCACCAATGGCTTAAAAAAAAATCCTTTTCTGTGATTTGGCTGAGTTTAATTTAAATTACAAGGGTATCTGAGGTCTTTTTTTGTTGCTGTTTAGAAAGCATTGCATGCACATCTAAAAGCTCACCAATAAGCTTTTAGTGTTTACCGCCTACTGATTCTGAAGGCGGTGTTACAAGCTTGGTAGATTTTCACCTGATACCAGAACAAATACTTCTACAAAGAGCTCTGAAACATGCCTCATTATCTGACACTTAATTTTGTTTGAGCTACGGAGGTGGTGTTTCTGCACTTCTTGTACTCAAACATGGAAGAAAATTGTTTCTAGCTTTTATTTTAGTTCACGACCTCATTGTATCAGCCAGGCCTGTTAGCAATATATTTGCATTTTGACTAGCATATTTATTGTTTGATAGATAATTCTTCAGCTGTCCATCTGCTCTCACAGCACCTCCAATGCCAAGGTGCACAGCTTAAAGGAAACTGTTCTGCCCTGGTGGCAAATCGGTTGTGACGTTGCTGTACATTTTGGGGTGCAGCTCACAACAAAGAGAAAAGGAAGCACAGGAAGAATCATATACCACATGCCCAACTTCTTCTTCCCCTTGTTTTTCGGGATGGTCTGTTTGCACAGGAGCACACGTATGGGCATGTTAGGGCTCTGAATTCACAGACCTTAAGTCTAGGCCTGTTGGTATCACCAGCACAGCACTGATTTCAAAGATCACACTAGGAATGGCTGCAGAGTAAAGGAAATCTCTTCTGAATTTAGTAACTAACTGCAGGACAAACAGGAATGCACACCCAGCTCTGAACAAAAGCAGAGAAAAGGACATACACAGGAGAAAGAATTTTGATATTTTGTTTGATACTGTAGGTGGCCAGTGTTATTTTCTGCTGTTTCCTTCTTTGCTGACTATGCCATGGTTTGCCTTATGTTGCGTACCTGTCTTAGACTATAATTAATCTATTTCTCTGATCTTGCAAGGTGATGGCTGTTATTGCTGGACTACAGGGAAAGACCAAGGAAGTAAAAAAGCAGCAAAAATGGGTAAAGTGTCCCTGAAGATGCTCTCCATCTGTTACCCTAAATAACTGTACTCTGAAAATGTTTTCCATCTTTAAATCCACAGCCTGTCAGCAAAGCGTCTGGAATGAATGTTCATGATCTGAAGGAAATACAAAACTTCCCTTTTATTTATGGTTTAACTTAGACATGTGTTCTGTATAGTACAAAATATCTGCTGTCATAGATGTTCACAGAATTACAGAATCTCAGGAGTTGGAAGGGACCTCAAAAGCTCATCCAGTCCAACCCCTGCCAGAGCAGGATCGCCAAAGCAGGTCACACAGGAACACATCCAGGCGGGTCTTGAATGTTTCCAGAGAAGGAGACTCCACAACCTCTCTGGGCAGCCTGGGCCATGCTCTGGCACCCTCACAGTAAAGAAGTTTTTCCTGATGTTCACATGGAACCTCCTGTGCTCCAGCTGCACCCATTGCCCCTTGTGATAGGTCATTGGCTATCACTGAGAAGAACCTGGCTCCTTCCTCCTCACACTCACCCTTTACAAACTGATGACCATGAATGAGGTCTCCCCTCAGTCTCCTCTGCTCCAAGCTAACGAGCACAAGCTCCCTCAGCCGCTCCTCAGCTGGAGATACTCCACTCCCTCCATCACTTTGTGGCTCTGCACTGGGCTCTTTCAAACAGTTCCTGTCCTTCTTGACCTGAGGGCCCAGAGCTTGACACAATATTTCAGGGGTGGTCTCACCAAGACAGAGTAGAGGGGAAGGAGAACCTCTCTCAACCTCTCGATCTTGTTAGATATCAGTAGCTTTATGGGGTGTCTGTCTGTAAGGATCTTTTTACATTGTGATCCATGAAATTTCCCACTGGAGTGGATGGAAAATTCCCACTGATTTCCACGGGAGGGACCCACAGAGGATTGCAGCCACTTCCTAAGTGGTGAGCAGCCAGCAACCGTTCTCAGTAACACTGGGAGTGTGTTCACAGTCAACACGCAGAGTGCTTATCCTCGTAACTGCCTACAGTTCATGTGCAGAGTGAGTTGTCCATGAGGCTTATTAGCCTTGAGTGTAAGATTAACACCTTGAGAATAGCACAGGCAATGGCATATCTGGATCAGGAGAGAGGCTGTGGTGATCCTACCAGGAACCCAGATGTGTCAAAAAGGAGCCAGCCACAAGCTTAGAACCTAAAGACATATTGGCAAAGAGTCTAGAAAGGAAGAGAGTATCAGGATGTGGCTTGTTATCTTCAAGTTTACCTGATCTTTGCAAGAGCTTCTCTCAATCGAAGTAATACACATGTTTTAGAAGCTTATCTAGCTTCTCAGCTGGGCTTGTTCTATAAAAGGTAGGGAATTTGTTCCATGTGAAAGGGAGCACATTGGGAGTGTGTCTGGGTGTGCCTGAGTGAGTATCTCTGTGCAAGTGCATTGGCAGCTTTGGTAAGTTAAAACAATATTTATCCTAGGCTGGGATATCACAATAATGCTGATTATTTGTTCCCAGCTTTTTTTAAAAAAGCCTGAAAGGTGTTTAAAGGCATGCCTGGAATCCAGGCAATGGTATCATCGGATGCACACTGACAGGCAGCTAAAACATGTCAAGCATTTGAGGAGGGCAGAATTAGCACACATTCCAGTCGCATCTTCAACTCTGCTGCAATTAACCTTTCTTGATCCTTAGACACATCAGTGGGCAGGAAGCCTCTATGGTCCCTCACTGCCAAGGACACCCATTTATCTGGTCACCTGCGCTGCACAGCAATCCAAGAGCTTTTTACCACTAAACCCACTGACAACCTTC